CAAGGAAATCAGGCAAGAGACTCTGGAATGCCTGGCTCTGGTTTTTGCCTTCCAAGCTCCAGAGCTCGCCGACTACCGCGTCCGCTTCCTGCGCAAGCTGGACGAGGACGACAAGACCACCATCGACGATTTGGCCAAGGAATACCATGCCTGGAAATCGGTCAAGGATGACTCCAGAATCGTCGAAGCTGCCAATTCACAAGAAATCCATACTGTTCAGAAGAGGAGAAAGCACCGTCTGCCTCGCCCAACCAAATCATCACTGCCACCCTCACCGTGTCCAATCTGCCAGCAGCAACATTGGAAGAAGGACTGTCCAGAAAACCGCCACGCTACCAGTGCCACCCAGGAGTCAAGGACTGCGCCACGACGTCGCATCAAGCAGTCATCACCACGCACCTGGTACCAACGCGTCATCGGCCGTCCAGGAGATGTCCAAAAGTACCTGGAAGTTCACATCAACGGACATCCCACCCGCCTCCAGTTGGACACCGGCGCCGACGTCACCATCATTTCATGGACAATGCGAGGGAAAGGCTCATCTGGCGGACATGGCATCCTGCTATGTCTCCGACGACCACTGACCTTCTCGCTCACGTGGATTCGAAAGCAGATTAATAGACTTCGACCACGTTTTGAGGAGATTCAACGTGCAGAAGGTTCAAACACTGAACAACGAGGCCCTCCGAGACCAAACGATCGCCAAGCTGAAGCACCAATTCATGGATGTCTTCGAGCCCGGACTTGGCTACTGCACCAAGACCAAGGCGACACTCTACCTCAAGCCCGATGCTCGCCCAGTCTTCATCAAGAAGAGACCGGTTCCCTACGCCTCCATACCGCTCGTCGACGCCGAGATCGACCGTCTCATGGCACAGAACGTCATCTCCGCCGTCGATCACTCTCGATGGGCTGCGCCAATCGTCGTTGTGAGAAAGGCCAATGGTACCATTCGACTTTGCGCCGATTTCTCGACGGGACTCAACGACGCATTGCTGTTGCATAGGCATCCACTACCCACCGCGGAGGATGTTTTCACAAAGCTCAATGGCGGAACCGTCTTTTCACAAATCGACTTCGCCGACGCTTATCTACAGGTCGAAGTCGATGACGACTCCAGAGAGCTCCTCACCATCAACACACACAGAGGACTCTACAGATACAATCGTCTACCGTTCGGAGTCAAGTCAGCTCCTGGCATCTTCCAGCAGATCATCGACTCCATGATCGCTGGACTCAACGGCGTTGCTGCCTACCTCGACGACGTCATCGTCACCGGCCGCACTCTCTCCGAGCACAACGCCAACCTGGAAGCCCTATTTTCAAGGATATCCGACTACGGCTTCCGCGTCCGCATCGACAAGTGGGGCACTTGCGTGATGACACAGCTCACCCAAAAATAAAAAAAAAAAAAAAAAAAAAAAAAAAAAAAAAAAGAGGCTAATCTCGGGAAACGTCATCACTGCTGCCGGACGCCGACCCGATCCAAAGAAGATCGACGCTATCTCCAAGATGCCAACCCCGAAGGATACCGCCCAGGTCCGGTCATTCCTCGGACTCATCAATCATTACGGAGCATTCGTTCCAAGAGATGCGCCAGCTCCGCGCACCGCTCGACGCATTACTCAAGAAGGAAGCTCCGTTCAACTGGAAGCTCCGAATGCGAAGCCGCTTTCGAACGCGCCAAGGAAGTGCTCGCTTCGGACCTGCTCCTAGCTCACTACGACCCCAAGTTGCCCATCATCGTCGCGGCCGACGCTTCAGACTATGGGATTGGAGCAGTTATTTCTCATCGCTATCAAGACGGAACAGAGAAAGCGGTCTACCACGCCAGTCGCTCTCTCACCACGGCTGAGAAGAACTATGGCCAAGTGGAAAAAGAAGGTCTGGCGCTCGTATACGCCGTCCGGAAATTCCATCGCTATATCTACGGGCGCCGCTTCACCTTGCCTAACGGGAGCCACAGCACTTCTGGCAATATTCGGATCGAAGAAGGGAGTTCCGGCCTACTCCGCGAACCGACTGCAACGATGGAGACTTACAATGCTCGCCTACGACTTCGACATCGAGTACCGAAACACTGCTAGCTTCGGACAAGCCGACGCACTGTCTCGTCTCATCGCCATGCAATCGCCACCAGAAGAAGACGTTATCATTGCCAGTATCACCAAAGACGTGAACGCCATCTTCGCCGAGAACGTGAGCCGCTTACCAGTCACTGCCAAGGAGGTTGCCCACGCAACAGCTGCAGACGACTGTCTCCGTCAAGTCATGGACCATATCGCCCACAACAGCTGGCCGAAGAGACCATCGCCAACAGTTGCGAGATACGCCCACCTACGCAACGAACTCTCGGCACAACAAGGAT